GTACGTACGTACGTACGTACGTACGTATGTACGTACGTTCGTATGTCAGCATTTTTTTCGTTTTCGATATCTCAAGAACGGATTGAGATATCGCCCTCAACCAAAATTTTTTCGAAAGATATTATCATAATGAAGATCTGAAAGAAATTTGAACGAAATCGGTCAAGCCGTTTTTTTTTTATAAAAAAAAAAACGAATTAATTACAAACAATTTAATTAAAATACGTTCTAATCTAATCACAACAATGAAGTTACGGAATCAATAATAACGAAATATCATTATTCAAGACAGGGAATAACATATTATAATAACATATTATAATAAAAATTTGTTTATAACAAAATGAATTGTTATAAACAATCGATAAACAATAAAAAATAGTATTTACCAATTGACTGATGCAAGTACTCTATCAATTCGGTTTTCTCAGACGAAATACTGTTTCTTATGGGTTTATAAAATGACGAACTCTCAAACATTGTTTGTTATTTATTATTGTGCCGCGTTTTTTTCAAACTTTAGAAACGAATGTACTTTACAATAACTGTATTATCTAATGGGAAGTTAGTCGTATTAGCACCGACCAAAATGTGCTCAGACCAATTTTTTTTAAATTAATTTTACCCACTAATACAGATAATCTTAAATTAATTAAAAAAAATTGTTGTTGCTGTGACTCCCTCGCCGGGGATAGAACCCGGGCCACTGTTTTTACGCACCAGTACTCTATTTATTTTGATTATGTTAAGATAGGTTAGGTTTTTAAAAATCAAATTCTGAAACATTCTTCAGTGGGCCAATTGATATGAGAAATTGCTCAGTTTACGCATAATTAATTATTAATTTAGTTTATTTTACCAGGCCATAACCAATCTCCAATTGGAATTTTTGCTCTGACTTCCACCCTTCCATATGTAAAATAAAACGAGTTTAATGTACGTATTCGAGCACTTTTTATAGGGTTGAGAATATGTCCGGATGTACCAGCTCTTTCACAACCATAATAGGAAGGATCTGTACAACTATGTAAAATGTATCAATTAGAATTTTAGTAAACAAAAAAATTTAAAAATGGTTCCTCACCTGCTCGAAGGCGAACCTCCCCACAAGCTTAACGTTTTTGAATATAGTGCTTTTTCTCCTAAATGATCAGCAGTTAACGTTGGGTAAATGTACAAAATTCCATCTTTTGTAAAACTGTTTGTTCTGTTATTCGTGTACCATTGAAACTCCCAATTCTACAAGAAAATCCCAAGGTGACAGACAAAAAGTAGATGTGCAATTTCTAGAAATAGGGCTAAAAATTTTATGATAACAGCAGATATGATTGATGACCTGAACAAATTTATTACTTTATGTGTTAATGTATTTTGTTGATGATCGTAAATCTATTTTTTCCTTCACAAAACCATAAAGTCCTTTATTGTAACAATAATAATCAAACAATCATTTTATTTTTCTAAAGAAACTGCAACATCTGAACTGATGTTTACAATTTTGTGGCCTCTCTTCAGAATTTAAATAAATTTAGCAATAATACGCCTAATCACAATTGTTATGATAGTTAATGACCTAATGGCATTTTTAATTTATATATTTACATATATACATGCATTCTGAAAATGTGCACGTTTCATAAAAAAAGTTAGCTATAGAAAAATATGATAATATTCTACAACTGCTATTGACATAAAATACAGAGTGTTTTATTTAAACAAAACAAGTTTTTGTCTCTTGAAACTTGTATTTATTTAATCATAATTTTTAGACACCCTGTATACGTTAGTCAATTATTACGATTTTGTTACAAAACTTAATTAACGGACAGGCTTCAGTTCAAATTTGGTTATAATAACGCCAATAATATATGTTGATAATTTAAAAGTTACAGTAATTGTTCCTACATTTTCATAAAATTCAAAATATTTCAAAATCCTTAAGGTTTAAGTAAAACAAACCTTAATGGAACTCGCTGTTATTATGATCATACAATCCAAAAAATCTAAAAATATATAGGATGTTCTATTCAAGAAAAATACATCTTTGATACGTATTGTGTGTTTTGGACACCCTGTACATTATGAAATTAATTTTAAAATGTACCACTTGTAAGTCCCTGTCCAACCCCACAAAAAAAAATATTTTAAAAATCTTTCGTGTCGAATAACGTGAATAACCCTGTATATTTTATTAGTTAATGCGAAAATTAACATTCAATTTTTTACCCACTATAAATTACCTAAGGTTAATGAGGGAAAAATTGCTGCTGTTGTTACACTCTCGTCGGCAATGGAACCCGCGAACTCTGGCTTTACGCACCAATGCTTGAGATAGTATGTAGTAAATAAAAAATTGAAAATGAAATTTCACATTAAAACTTGATATTAATCACTATTAAATGACAAAGCGTTTCGTATGTTTATTATTTGTTTAAATTGCTGACCGATGTTGTTAATCTATAAAATTGTACTGTTCATAACGTATAAAGAAAGATTCATTTTCTCAGCATATCATGCCTACATTTAATTGATTTCACAATTACTATCATTAAGATTTTTTAAATAAACTGGCCAAAAAATAGTCTCATTGTCATTTCAAGTAATTTCAAGAAGTTACTTACCCCTCCCCCCGATAATGTAACTTCATGTTCCCATTTAGATAATTGAAAAGTATCGAAATTATCTTCGAAAACAACATCCCCAGAGCAAATTGTACAACTGCTGCAACTTCCTCCAACTCTAGTAACAGACTTACTGCAACTCTCACCGGTATCGTACAGGCAAAAAAGAATATACAAAAAAAGAAACATTTTTACTGCCTTTTACAATATCTATAGAATAATGTAAATGAATAGGTAATCTTTATTTTTATGCGAATATTTTTGCTGGTGCTGTTATCTAAGATGTTCTGTCGGTAAATAACTAATGACTTAATGTATATTCTACCGTAAGTAATTATAATGTATAAATACTACTATGATTGTTCTTGTTTAGAAAAACCTTGCAATTAATCATGATCTCTAACCTGTCGATTACAGCTCGATATAAGCAAAAAATCGCTTGGACAATAAATTGTATAAATAGTCCGTTCTAGTCAACTTTTTAACGAATTTCGATAGAAGTGATTACATTAGTGAAATATACAAATCAGTAATACACGCCCAGAACACAACATAATGCTAACAATAAAAGTAACGAACTATTCTATGCCAAGGTTATTTTTTTGTCATTAGAAACATCCGCTTTATAAAGTTTATTTTCTATAGGTACATAGTAGCTCACCAAAATTACCTTTTTCGTCATTTAAAACCATAAATATATATTTGGAAATATCCATTACATATTACTTTTAAAACGTGTCTATTCTTTTGTTTTAATTATTTATTCAAAATCTACTGCACTTTAAATTTTGTCATTAAGCAATTTTCATTGCTATTTATTCAACGTAAATATAAAGGAGTTCAATAATCAACCAATATAATGCATACTTTCTTGGCTGCAAGTAGAAGTAAAAATATAATTTCACATACTGTAGCAAGTAGAGTGAATTTTAAGGTATAAAATTGTAATAATGGTAATAACTTTATCAAATAGTAGAACACATGTTAATCCTAATAAATATTTAATATCAGCTTTATTATAACAAAGGGAAATTCTTCTAGTTGCAGAAGAATAATAAGCATTCTATGATACGGAGACATGTAATTTAAATGCGGTCCGCAGAGTTTTAGGGGTTTAAATATAAAATAATAGATTTTTTCTGAAAAACTGTGACAGATAAATGTATATAAATTTCGCATCGAATGGTATCATTTAATATGACGTATACACATTTTGCCGATAATAAGAAAAATACGGTAATTCCTGCTAAAACGAACCAATCAAACCGCAGATTTTTAGCTTTCCTGGTTTAGAAGTTTTGAAATCGTGATTTTTTTCAAAAACAGTTGAATATCTCAAAAACTTCTAGAAATAAGTACAAGAAACTATGGACCTAAAATTAAACAAAGAAGTCAGAAATGTAAAAATTTGCGGTAAGTTCCATTTAAAATAACGAACTTCGGTAGCGTCCAAAAAAAAATGGAGCACCCTGTATGACCGAAGATATTTTCTGTATATACACCATATGATTCTAGGATAATTATCCAGAATTGGGGCTCCAAACCAAAATCGCACCAAAAATCTTTTCATCGATTTTCGATCATTCTACATAATAGAATTATATATTAGAAGGTCGAGGAGACGGTTTTTGTGACTTAATAAAAAAAATTTTTTGAATGGTAATTTTTCAAAATTCAAATCACAGTTCTAAACCGTAGGTACGGCAAGAGGTGGGTAAGAAGATCAGAGACGGATGGAAGGGTGTATTAAAAGTTATACAAGCTTTTAATCTCCTTATCTCACGATTGTCACTACATAAAGTTCTTCTATTAATATTAAAAGAACAAATCGCTGTACAAACACCATTTACCCTATGATACATGCTGTAATAAAAAAAATATGTCTCCCCCGTCTCAAATATATCTAATAATTATTGAAACTTTAGAAAAAAAATTTTTTTGGAGTGATTTTGGTATGGAGCCGCAATTCTAGGAATTGTACGAAATTCCGATTCTAAGAAATGTATAAAGCTAATGCTTTCTGTGAATAAAATACTCTAACATATCATAAATTATAAGCATTAAATAAACTCCAATCTATCATAAATCTACCTAACCAAACAATGACGTCACCTATGCAGGTAATTATCCAGAATTAAGTGGGGCAATTTTGAAAAATTATAATTAAAAAAAAATTCAACGTGTAATTATACAACACGCTACTGAAGTGAAACTTCTTGAAACACACAAGCATATCGGGATAGGGGTTAAGGAATTGGCGTCAGTGGCGTCGATTCGACTGTAGAGTGTAGGCACACATACAAATACATTCATACATTTTGTTAGGGCTACACTATACATGCCGGAGTTGTCTGTAACGAACGTTGCATTGAAGCGCGCTCACGGCTCAATCGATCCCCACTACGAACTCGACTACGTGGTCGAGTAGAGGGGGGACATCCGTTGCATGATTTCGTTACATAGCAACTCGCATGAAACGAACTTACCCTACCGTGCGTAAGGAAGTTTCACTTTAAAAAATAAATCTTCCACACCTTCTAATATCCAATTCTATTACGTAGAACGACCGGAAATCGATGAAAAAATTTTTGGAGCGATTTTGGTCTGGAGCCCCAATTCTAGACAATTACCGGCGGAACACCCTGTATGTAGGATGTAGGCACATAAAATGTTATTAATTTTAAATGGCCAAATCAAATTTACCTCCACTAAATAGAATTATACCAACAAAATACTAATGTACCTACAGAGTTTGTCCGGAAAGTAATAGGACTGAGTCGATTTAAAAAAATTTATTGAGCCAATCGTTACAACTCTTCAAAAACTTTCAAACTACGCTCCTCCTGCGTCGATGCAGCGCTGCCAGCGCGTTTTACAAGCATTGAAGGCGTCACGGAAGGCATTCTCCGGAATAGCCTTAAGAGCCGCGGTGCATGTTGCTTGGATACACTCTGTCGTCTCAAAATGCTTGCCTTTCATCAGCCTTTTTAGGCGAGCAAACAAAACAAAGTCCAGGGGGGGCACATCTGGGCTGTAGGGCGGCTGCGGAAGCGTTGGGATGCCGGCCTTGGTCAGGTAGCTGTCCACAAGAAAGGCGGTGTGAGCCGGGGCGTTGTCGTGGTGCAACTTCCAGTCGGCTGCAATGTCTTGTCGGACCCGATTGACCCTTCGTTTAAGTCTCTTGAGCACTTCCTCGTAAAACTGACGGTTTGTCCAGGAGGAACAAATTCGTGTTAGACGATGCCTTACATGTCAAAAAGACAATGAGCATCGTAAATTTAATATCTGGGCAATTAAACGAATACTTAGTCGACGGTCTGAGTTCAAAACTTCGCGCACACGAGTCACATTGTCGGTGTTTGTCGAAGTCGAAGGTCGTCCAGCACGGTCTTCATCGGCGACCTCTTCGCGGCCCTCTGAAAAGGCCTGGTGCCAGCGAAACACACCACTTCTTGCTAAAGCAACATCTGGGTAAGCCTGCTTGGTCATATCAATCGTCTCTGTCGCAGATTTACCAAGTTTCACACAGAATTTAATCGCGTACCTCTGCTCTAACGAACGGTGCATTTTCGGCTTGCACCACTCACAGAAACACGTCGCGTGAAAAAGCCTGTTCTGACTCCCCAGGTGCTCGGAGTCAACTCACCAGCCGCTCGTTCATTAGCTAGGAATGCCCTCTTCCGAATCCAGCCTGTGCACGCAAGCTCCAAGCGGAAAGAAATCAGTCCTATTACTTTCCGGACAAACCCTGTATATACACACGTACTAAGCCATAATGGTAATCTAAACAGAAACGTAATTATTGTATCCTTTAGGCTTTAAATATTAAATAATGCATACGGATGTGTAGTTAGCAACTATATTTATATAAATATACCATCAGAAACACCAAGCATACATGGTCAGATATTAAAAAAATCGTTCGAAGATGAATTTCCGACCTTTCAAATATTGGGATAAATTATTTGAATTAGTTTTACCCGGTTTAACAAAAATTGATAAAAATCAACCCCTTTTTTACAAGGTTGTTGTTATAATAATGCCCGTATGTTTGTTATGTGGGTGCCTCCATGCTGTGATCAGTAACAGAAGTGGTTACTCAGTTATGGAATGGTTATTAATAACTAGATTTGGAATAGTAGTTAGTATGACATTTTCCATCTTTGTTTATGAAACTTTCTTCGGGAAAAACGCAGCTTCGAAGTTAATTTCCACCGAAGAAAAAATTACAGAGATCCTAAAGATTGACACCAAGAAACTGGAGAATGAGATTGAAAGAAAACTATTAATAATAAGGATCATATGTTTTACAGGAACTTTAATCACCAGTGCCGTAGCTTTATTTTTCAGATATCATTTTGGCACCATTATAAGAACGATTCTCTGTTTTTTCGCGTAAGTAACTCAATCCGCTAACCCTAAGCTAGCTCGTACTTGTGAAATATATAGGTAAAGGCTAAGCGTTTCACAAATAAGTGTTGAATAAGAAGAAAAATTAATGTAAAGCAATTTAAGAACAAAGGCTTTCACGGCCGGAATCCATAGTAGAATAATGATTCGGGCTATAGGGCCGTGGTCTAAGTGAACTATTCTGTCCAGACGTTTCGTCGGCTACTGCGGCTGACATCCTCAGTGGTAGTGCTGCGTTGACAACATGAACGTAGATTATATCTCGCAGTCTCGACAGCGACTGGGTGCAACCCAGCACTACCACTGAGGATGTCAGCCGCAGTAGCTGACGAAACGTCTTGACAGACCACACCCTATAGCCCAAATCTTCATTCTACTATGGAAAGCAATTTGTTCTTCGAAATGAATCAATTTGAGATCATGATCAATATTGATTTGACCAATTCTTAACTGATTTTGATGATTGAGAAGCTGATTTTAAAATAATCTGAAATGGTCAAACTGGACAAATTTGCATTCTAAAGTGATTTTTATTCTTTTTTTTTAATATTAGTTTTCAGCGAACGTTTTTGATACTGTCATGCTTTAAAAATGTGGAATTAGAAGCAAAACTATTGAAGGAATGGTTGATGACTGAAACATCACGTCCTGAGCACAACATTTTTGAAGTTATGGATTCATGTTCGCAGAATTATTGCCTTCTCATAAAAAAGATAAATTATTTAAGCGACTACTTCGGACTGTATTTCTTCGGAATGTTCACAATTGTAGTACAGAGCATTCTGATATTATGTCTCCATGTATCAAAGATCTTTTTCACAAATAACATAGTATATAGAAATATCGCAACCGAACTACCATCTTTCTTTGAATTCGTAAGTGTACAATTAACTAAAGCCCAACTTTTGTAGCGTTAATTCAATGTATTAGTGAATAATTTTTGAATTAATTTTACCTACTACAAATAACCTGAAACTATACTTCATTTACTTTCTGTAGCGATGTGCCCCTTCCAATGTCTTGGATGCGAGGTGGCAAAATCGTAGGTAGGGAGAAAAAAGCTCATTATACTCTCAACTCTTGTTCATTAAACATAATTTTTCATACAGTACCTACCAAAAGTTTTGTTCAATTATGAAT